CATAACGATTATGCTGCAGAATATGCATACTTTTTAACAAAAAACACTTGCACTCATCTATCATTTCTATGAAAAGTCTGTAGGCCTAACTTCAAAATCTTCGCCAATTGGAGTAAATGCACATGCAAAACTGACCTTAAAGTTGCTTTGCCACCAATGAAATTTTTTCAAATCCTTTCCGAAGCCTTTATATGATGTTTCTAGTTCAAAAAATATTGAATAGCGTTTAGTTCTGTGAACAGTGAATTATGACTTTTCATGTTTTGTTATGTTTATAAATAAATTCTATCATCAAACAAATTAGAAAGCATCTTAGNTTTTTTAAGATAATGTTAAATATCTGGATTACTTTAGATCTACCTAGTCTGAAGTAAAATTGAGTCCGGGCTTTGTTTGTTTGTTTCGAAAAGATTTGCGAAGTTTTTTCCATGATTGCTTTCTCCGAAAATGAGAATCTTCGCAAAGCCGATTGGTTAGTATTCCATACTGCCATTCTGAAGGCAAGGGTTCGATTCTTGGTTCGACCAATATATAAAATTAATGTCAAGCCCTCCGAGTGTATTTCTGACATAAAAATAATAAGTTCTTCATAAACATCCATCGACCATCCTGTGACTTACAGTAAACTGTAGATGCCTTCATTTGTTGTAAAAAAATAGCAAGACGTATGTCACAAAAATAAAACACTAATTACATATGGAGGGAACCCTTTTTAGTGGATTTGGCAGAACACTCTTAGATTCCACTCGTATTTGAATTTAAACCTGCATCGGATCTTCTTAAGCTGCTGACTCTACACTGCATTGCTGACATCGTTTTTTTCTTATTATCAACAGACCCGTGAGTAACATTATAAATGTGGGATTGACGGACGAACAAAGGACGACTAGGAGTGGACATCACTTTTGAAGACTAACTTACTTTAACATACATCCCTGATTATTTGAGGAAACTGGGTGTAAGTAGGCAATACTAAACGAACGAAAGGGACACTCAAACCTTACGTTAAACAACCGGACAGAAAGAGTTAGTTTAGTTCGAAAAACCCAATCGAACCGATCAGACGTACACAAAGTATATTTTTAAACTTATTAAAACGAAGTTTTTCTCTCAACTTCTCTCTGTTAAAGAACTTTATTTCCTTCATTTAAGAACTTGCCAAATTTTTCTTTGGCTGACTGGCATTTCCTAAACAAGTTTGTTCATAAGCTGTTTAAAATTATCGTTTCAAAAGCAACTAAATCTCTGCCCTATACAGCACTTACAGTGGAAGGCGAAGCGCTGGATAGAGTCCGACTTCAACTCGATCGTAACGCTATTTACCTCACAATTCTCCTACTTCCAACCTTATGTATGCGGACACTCATCGTTAAAATAAATCAAAGTTGTTGATAAAATCGATTGAGGATTTCGAAAAGGCATAGTTTAGATACGCGGGGAGCACAATAAGTCTAATTAATGACCTAGATTCGGCAACTTTCAGGTCAGGTACTCACTATATTATGTATTCAACTAAAAAATCAACCAACCAACAATGAAATATGGCAACTGCCTTAAGCTGCTCATTACTTTTGTTATTAATATGAAAAATATATAATATATATGATTTCTGAAAGTCTAAAATTTCTCTCAGAACCTGCACATACACTCTTATATTTTTCTACACATTAACAACAATTAAGAAAAAATTTTAAACATTAGAGTGAATTTTGAGATCTCTACATTCGCTTCAAAAGTTATCTATGTAAGTCGAAGCCAAAAATATTTGTCGGGAATTACTGTACTGTATCGATTACTGTACCCCGAAGATTTGAAAACATATTCAGTATTCAAAAGCTTTAAGAAAGATGTGGACTATAAATATGTACCCTTAAGAGGTGAGATGAAGGTAATTTAATTATCTTAAAATATAAAACCGAATTTCAAACAAATCGCACCATAAATACGGATTTCGTTAAAAGATCGGCATCTGTTCTAGTGGATCTCCTATTTATTTTTATTGTACCCTATCATTTTACAGGGTCCGCCATCTAACATTTTTTTTTTTGAACTAGTGGTTATTTTGAGTGTGGTAACACTGATGTTACATCTGATTTGACAGAAAGTTAGTTTTATCCTTCCGCTGAACGAAAATGGTTGTGTATACGATTGAGGAACGCGTTAAAATAGTGCAGTTTTACTTTGAAAATGAGTGCGAAAATTACGCCGTAACAAAGCACCGTCCGTTACGTATGTGCGCTTTCTTTTGAAAAAATTGAGAGAAACCGGCACAATCATTGATAAACCAACGCGTGAGAAACCAAACAAAGTGCGTACGGTAATATCGCTGCTGTGGCCGAGAATGTGCGTCAGGCGCCCGGAACATCAGTGAAGCGTCGCTCTCAACAATTGGACATTTCCGAGACGTCCCTTAGGCGAGTTTCGAAAAAAGACCTTGGTATGACACCGTACAAAGTTCAATTGGTTCAAGAATTGAAGCCACGAGACCATCCGATGCGGCTTTCCTTTGCCGAATGGGCATTTGTTTTATTGCATTTAAAAAAAAAAAAAAAGTTACGTGGCGGACCCTGTATATTTCAGAAATAACAACAGTTTTTTATAACAGTCGTAGCCGCAATCGAAATCGGTTTTTCCATACTAAAAACAGTACTTGTTGTAATATGATATAGAGTCGTTGCCCAAGTCTTCAAAGTTTAGACAATCTGGTTATTGCATTTTTACTACCGGTAATATTTTACTCGCTGCTTCATTTTGAGTGGTTCAAATCTACTCAGAATCAGTTTCATTAATAGCTAAACTTTACTCTTTAGGAATTCGAATGCATATGCTGTTATGCTCATGCTCAAACAATAAGTATATATATTTTTCTATAAACCTTGCCACATTTTGCATTTTTATTTCCTATCTGTGTATATCAACAGCTGCTCAGCTATCAAATACTAATTCCTTCCATTTACTTTATTGTAACCGCCGTTGGTGTGCATTACGATATCACACACACGTACGTATATGTGACTCAGTTCATGTGCTTGTATATTTGCCTATCTTTGCACTTGGATGCCCATCCAGATGCACTTCCTGATAATCGAAAAGAATTCACGAATGCAAGCTAATGTTGGTTAAGCAATTTATGTTTGCAATTCCATGGTGATTGGCGCTTTCTGGTTGAAGGTATGGACTAGTAATCTAATCGTAGTAAAGTGTGACTAAGTTAGAGTGAATCGCACCATTTGCAATAAGTCTAAGCACCTTTTCCTCCAGAAAAGCTCTAAATAAGAGAAGTGGTCTAGTCACTGATGACCAGAGTAAACTGAGTTTATGGAAGGAACACTTCTCCAAACAGCTGAAATGCAGTGAAAACGAGACTCTAACCGATAATGATGGAAATACGTTTCTAGAGCTTCTCTGAAGGAAAAAGTAAAAAGCAAACATATGACTAGAGAAGAGGAAGACCTCCATTCCGCTGTAACGATCAGGTGGAAGGCGACTTGGTTTCACTTGTTATTTCTCACTGCAAAACGCGGTTTGGCCAAATACATCTCTTCTTTCGGGATGCTTTTTCTTTATGATTCCAGGCTTTGGGAAAATGAATTTTAGGGGGAAGTAGAGGGTTCCACCCTCTCTCAGAAACCGAAAACCAAACCTACCGGAGATTTTCGAGATATTTACAGATGAAAGTGCAAAAAAATTGAATTTTTTATTTTATTTTGTACTTAAAGTTATTACTGTGAGTTTTGGTGTTGCCACATATAAAAAAAAAATTCTAAAATCATACAACTGGAATACAAATTAGCCGGATTGTTATTCTTATCTTCTTGTAAAAATCGTTTGATAACTCTCCACTGGGACTCAATCCTTTGAGTATGTGTGCCATCCTGTGCTACAAACGGGTTATCCGGATCACTATGGTTAACCTTACGGTGCTCGTACCCGTAGCTGGAGAGACAATCATACGCTTTTCAGCGATCGGTATGTAAAATATGGTCCCTTCAGCTACGTGCTTTTGGATGAGTGGTACGAGCACCTCTGCCGATCGCACGGTGTCGGGGCACACCTCCAAACGTAGATCCTCCGAGCCGACCTCGATCTTTCCGAGAACCCAATGGCCTTCGACCCTTCTCAATAAAAAATATTAAAAACAATGTTAAGACCTATATAATAACAAAATAAATAAATATTACCTTTATTATACTACCGTTTCCCAAATTTGCTCTAATCAATTTAAAAAATCTCACCCGTACCACCAATTTTTCCCACGAAAATAACAGTAGTTAATTTTTCACACAAAAAAAGAAAAGCGAAATTTTACCATTATTTTGCTTTGCTCTTATTCCTTTAATTTTGAAATATGCCACACCTGTAAAAAATCACGCCGACTTTGCCTGGCATAGTATTTTTAAGCGAAACTTTTGTAAGTTGGGTGCTTTTGATTGTAACCCTGGGCCGGACCAACACCAGCTTCGCCTTGCCCAATATTTTTAGCCGGAGCTCCTTCGTGAGTTGGCTTTTGATTGTAACCCTCGGCCGGACCAACACCGGCTTCGCCTTGCAAAGTATTTTTAGTCGAACCTGCTTTGTAAGTTGGCGGCCGTCGGCTGCGAATTCGATTGTAACTCTGGGTCGGACCAACTTCCTTTCATGAAGTACAAAAATGTGTTTTTGAATTATAATTGTGTTCAAGTAACCCTGTACAGCAGTGTATTTTTATTTTTATGCCGTATAGCAAACCCCACTTATTGTTATTGTCGGACATTTCTCTTGCAAACGATATCGAAATAATATACAAAAATAAAATAATATTTTACTGCTAACCAAATAAAATAAAAATATAACAGTTTTTAGTAATCGTAATTTGTACTATGATTCTCAGCTTTCAATATTAGTAATAAAATCCATTCTTATTAATTTTTTAGGAAATGAAAAAATCAATCGCCTGTTACATGTACTTACTTTACTTTTATTCTTCTATCAAAAACACTTCTTGTTCTATTCCTTTTTTATTTATTTTGCTACAGTTCAAGTTGCTTGCCCTCTTTTGCCCCTCATTCAACCCATCTCGCGCTCCATTTCTTCAATGAAAAATAATAAAAGTAACCGAAATAAATATTTGCTCATAATAAGACGCTTACTGCGTGGCAACCAAGCGATTTCCAGGCGACAATTGCTTTCAGGCAGGTCGATAAAATAAAGCGCAGCTATTAATTATACGAGATTGTAGATGGTTTCTTCGGTAAAATGAGCAAAAATAACAACAACAAATGTAGTATCAGCAACAGCTGGAAGTAAAACGAAATAAACGAAAATCAAAAAAATTAACTGAATTAAACTAACCCCAATGCACACTGGGCCAGATTCCCTATTTTTTGGCATAAAATCAAAAATTTTTGTAAATTCTTTTTTAAATTTAACTATATATTATGAAAGAGCATACATTAGGGACACCAAAACGATATTTAAAAACATTTTAGTTGCAACACAGCGTTTTGTATTCGATAACAAATGCATATGTTGAATCAGCTGTTTGTTCAAGCAAAATTGGCGGGAAGCTTTTACTCAACTTTGTGCTTCTGTTAAAAAAACACCACGTGTCCAAATATCTTCAAATAACATGGAACATAAAGATCAAGGTATGCTTAATACAGATATAAATTACTGATTTCGATTTATGTGCTCCATGTTGTAATTGTTGTTGTCTTTGTTTATGTCTTAGTTTAGGCAAAATCTAACCAAAGTATTCGTCTATTGTGGAGTGAGAAATAATTTGTGCCAACTTGTGCCAAAAACTAAAAACTGATGTGTTTACTAAAAACTGTAATTAAATTGATCCTAGTAGTGCCTTTTGCCTAAATTAGCCTATGCTCTTTATATTTTGTTGTTAAAGCCAAGTTTGAGATTAGCCGATTGGTTCTGCTGGATGAGTGGATCAAAGGAGGTCGAAATGACAAAGCCTTAGTTGACTGGGTTGTTGGCGAATTTAAATTTAATGATATTAATATTGACGAGGAAGCTAAAATCGCAAAGCAAATCAGAAGCTTTCACCTGTATATGATGAAAAATCTGGCTAAATGTAACCGTACAATTGAAGCATTAAAAAAAAAACATTTTAGTTGGCTTTCATCCACCATGATGGTTGTCGTGGAGCAAAATAACAACCAAATCGCTTCAGACTGTCAAATGGGACAACCACGATTCCCTTACAGTGATGCAGGATCACGACTCAAAAGAAAAGTGGCAACGGATCTGGCTAATATTGAAGAAAATAATACAAGTCTTCTTGTCCATGCAGCATCAATTTCAGCCAAAAAGGAAAAAATGAGCGATACTGATTTGTATTAAAGCATACCATTTCTACTTCATCTGCATCCACTGAAATTAGAAAAAAATTGATATTTTCAGAGCCTGCACCGCTCACACCAATTCAGGCTCTTGCATTTTTGATTGACAGCTCTCTAACCAAAGCCCAATACAACGACATGAGAGCTTTGAATAAAACACAATTTATCAATATTTATCCATCGTATAATAAAGTCAGCGAAGATAAATTAGCGTGTAAACCAGCGGGAGTTCATGTGACAGAAACCAGAGCCCAAGTATCTCTCCAAAATTTGCTGAATCATACGGCCAGTCGAATTATTCTTATGCAAGAGGAGGTATTTAAGACGCATGAAAACATAACAGATGTCAAACTGATCGCAAGCTATGGATTTGACAGTACTACCGGGCAGAGTATGTAAAAGCAGAGATTCCTAGAAGACGAATCCCACCTCAAAGAGGACTCAATTTTCGTTAAAGAAGTCATCAATCTTTTAGATGCACCAAATGTAGAACATATTAATAATGAACATTTTTTGGAAAGCGATGATAGCGACTCGGATTCGGATCACGATGATCCATTTTCTATGCATTTGGACGTAGAAAATTATGATTAATATAATAGTATAATGATATATTAAATAGTTACATAAGAAAAATTCAGCTTAAATTTCTTATATTAAAAAGAAACACTCATGCCAAATCTACTCCTTAACTGTATATCCTTATATGGGCGGTATAGGTGGGCGTGGTCCGATTCACTTGAAATTAAAAGTACGTAGTTTAAATGTCAAATGCACCAATTCTACAAAAATTCAGCTCTCTAGCTTTATTATTAGACTTTATACCAAAAAAAAAAGTGAATCTGGCCCAGTGTGCAATGTAATGTATCAGTGAATGGCTCTACACTTAGTTATTTACAAAATGCAACAAAAAATACTTATATAGAAACAGCAAATCATAAATATAATATATTTTAAATAAAGGTAGAAAAGATCAACAATTTACGAATGGCAATAACCACAGAAAATTTTCTTATTTCCACACTCAAAAATAATTGCGTTAAGTACAGAACTAAGTATGTATTTATTTCATAAAATTTGTTTGTTGTACTATTATTATTATTATTATTATATTTCTTATATCTCTCAGTAACAGAAGGAGAAAATTAGATCCAAAGTTTAAACCGATACGACAAGAATGCCGAGTTATGTTGATATAGTCTTGTCTGTCTGTTAGATTAGATGTACTCCTGAAAGCTATAGCGACTTATATATAAAGAACATTTACTTAAAAAAGATTGATCCTTGTTTATGTGACACGTAGCGCCGTCTTGTTGAAAGTAAATGTTGTACAGATAACACCATCCAATTCCGACCATAAAACGTTATTACTCAGCTCTCGATATCGCTATCCATTCATTTTCGAAAAAGTAAGGTCCAATGACACCGTACAAAACATTTACACATTAAAGATGAAGATGCTTTTCAATAATAAGTCTTAGGTTTTCCGAGCAACAAACACGACAGTTCTGCTTCTTGACATAGCCATTAAGTTGGAAAGGGGCCTCATCAGTCAAGATGATTTTTCGATGAAATTTTTATAGTGCATTTTAATAATTACGGCATAATTGTGGTATATAAATTGTACCCATCACTAAAAATTTCTCGGGAGCAGCAAAATTAGTAAAAAAAAGAAATCAGCAAGGAGAGGAGGTTAAGAAAAGTTCTTCTGCCCTTAGGTCTAAAGGGAAAAATATACTCCGCTTCACAATAATAATTTCTTAACTCATACAACTCGTCTGCCATTCCAATTATGCATATTTATAGCGAATTTGTTTTAAGTAAAAAAAGCACTCTTTCTGGAATACTAACGCAACTAACACTGAAAACGGTATTAACAGGAAAAGGAGCATAATAATCAACTTAATTTTTTTTTGCTACAAATTTGTATAATTAAGCTTAAAGTTATAATTGATGTTAGCAAAAAGTAGACCAAAAAAGAGTGAATGGAATAATCGGAAAACACAACGGAATATTAATTAGTAGCAAAAAGTACAAAAGAAGCTAAAATAAATTTAAGTTTACTTGCAGCATCGCTAGTGAAAGCCAACTGCTGGCATAAAATGAAAGAATTATATTATTCAAAGTTCTTAGCAGACAACGATGCGCATATTTCTCTGTGAAAAGGGATAAAATTAGCGATAAAAAAAATTAAAATATGGACAACATTAAGTCAGCTGTTAACATAACCAGACACACTTCTTAAGTCCTCCACATTCTTTTTGGTGTCTTTCATTACGAAGACCTGCTGTAGAACTTCCATCGTTTTTCTTTTATTTAGATTTGATTGCTTTTCTTCGTAATTACGCCCACTTAAGAAAATACCCACGCACATATATCCTTGATGATTTCTGATTGAACGAAACGCCAAAACGTGTTTTAAATGAATTTGTTATAGAAAATGCTTTTGAGCATACATGTATATTCAACAGCCTTGTACGTGTGTTTATTTATTAGAATATGTAAGTTTTCATATGTTTTGGAGTGAGTATAACTTTTGGTATAATACTTGCTGATTTTGCATATTTTTTGATACAGCCAAGTACACACAAGCCATTGCTTAGGCAACCAAAATTTTAGTTTGAAATGGAAACCCTTTAATGGTTTTTCATTGCATTCAGAATTTTGTTATACTCAAGGTTTTAATTGAATTTAGATATTTTAAGAAGGCGACGCCATACTCTATACCTCACCTGACTATTTTTTTGGCCAAAATTAATACTCGTAAAGCTGTGAATATATATTTCGGAGGGGCTTTTAGTTTAGGATATATACACCTTCCGATTTTGCAGCAAAAATGTTGATGAAGATCGAGCGAGGTGGCGATCCAAATGCTAAAATAATAAGAAGTTTCCTGGCAATATTGGCTTTATATATCAACCATCGAATTTAAAAGTCAATCAACACGGCCGGTTAACAGGTGTTTGAGTATGCAACCCTGCACCAAAGCCAGAATCTATAGCAGGAGATGTCGCTGCTGCTAGTACAATACGTGACTCATCCCTATTGGGAAGGGTCCTGTTAATCAACGTTCCGTTACATCTTCCACCTTCTGTGGAAGGTATAAAAGGCCGATGTTGCCGTTTAAAACTTCTCTTTTTTTGCGAAACCTCAGCAGCAGCAACATCAGGTAAGAACAAGTTTTTAAAAACACCTCTTAATATGTACAGGTGACCTTTTATTTAAATAAATCTGTTTGTATTTGAAACTAAAAGTTTTCCTTCTTTTCTTTATTTGTTGGAGAAGGTTTATTTATTTTTCAGCTTGAAGATTGCCTGAAGGTTCGGCCCTATCTTACGATCCCCGTCTCCAGAATTCAGGAGGAGTTCTGACCCATCCATCCCGGCACGAATAACAGGTTTCATTCAGTTGGGTATACCTGAGCAACTATTCAACTATTAAATATTTATAATTCAAATGTTTATAGATTGATCCATTTCATTCCTAATGTTACTCCTTAATAAAGTATACTACCGGATATTACCCACTCAAATAATGTATTTAGAGCATCTAGCCTTGTTGGTATTGCACATTAAATCCTGGCCTCAAGATCGTTGCATAAATGTCAGCACGTAGTACAATGACAGGTCAGCCAATGTTAAGTTGTCGGATTCACCCGTTTTACCAGAACTTTTGTAAAGATAGATGCTGGTTGCAGTAGGGATACGAATCGTATCTGTATTTGCAACTCTCCCCATTGCCCCCGTCATTAGGACTGTCCCTACCGGAATTTTTTGAGTATAAACATTTTTTTGTGAGATATTATTTGGCATGTTTTTTGTACCGCTTTTGCACACTGGAATACCTTCATGTACATGAAATTGTGAATTAACTTTGGTGCAAAATATGTAAGAAACAGAAGTAGAAAAAATATACCCATCAAAATTTAGCCCGCT